AAGAAACCACAACTAAGAGCCAGTTACAGACTGGGAGGCCACCTCCTCCCACAAGCATCATGCTCAGGAAAACTTCTCAAGTTACAAYAACTGAAGTTACTCTAAGCTTCATCAGGCTGTCTTGAACCTTAAGACTCTTTCTGTAGCCTGCAAATAAGCCTTTTTTCCCCGTGACAGTATTGATACCGTCAGCACAGACATTGAAAAAATATAATTCCCCCGTCCCAGTTGTGATAGTGGAGTAAATACATCTGGCTTTTTGTAAGCTTTTCCCTACTGGAGAAGCAAAGCAATCCACAATTTACAAGATTTTTACAGGGCCTTCTTTAGATTGTATTAAATATATGTCATAAGTGAAGAAAACCAGCTGTATTTCTAGAATTATATAATAAGTTTATAGTTGTTTTCTCTGGAGGATTTAAGGATGTAATTGTGGTTTTGCTAAGAAAATATTCTGCCCACTGTGCAAAGATTAAGCCTTCTTYAGCATCCAGAATAGTCTTCCATAAACTATAGTATAGAAAAAAAAAAATGCCCACTTTAATCTGTATAGCACTCAGGCAAGTCTTAAACAAAACACTGGATATGGAAGCTACAATCACAAACCACATCTCTTAATTGGCCTCATTTTTCCCTCCTCCCGAAATACCTTCTTTATTGTATACTTCTCTAAAGTAATTTATTGCATTTCATTCATTGTAATCCATGCAGAAGCCCTCACTCATCTACCCGTTTGTTAAACCCAGGGATAGATCTAGAACATCTTTCATTATAAAATATTGTGGGGTTTGGAAGCCAGATTTGATATGCTTACACATTCACTGGTGAGGATTTTAGTTGAGATAAAGAACCCTCAAAGTTCCAGTTGACAGCATGTATTTATTCTGAAAGTCTTTGTATCTCCAGATTTATGTTCTGGTTCACCACAATTTTGATTCATTTATACCCTCCCATGATCAAATACTGTCCCTGTGAGAAACACCTCATTAACAGAGCAGTCCCAAGGCCTTTTGTAGGTGGGCTGAAAGGCACAGGCTGCCTGAGACAGCCAGGATTTTAGGAATGGGGCAATGCTTTGCCCTCACCCTCACCAGATCTGGCTGCTGGCAGAGTAGTGGATGCTCTCTCTCACTGGATTTTTTTTTTCCTCCCCAGAGCCAGACACTGGTGAGGAATCAATAGAGCTGAAAAAGGGGCGGGGAATTCCCATACAAACTATAACTGAATTTTTTTTTTTTTTAAAAAAAAAGGGAATTGCTACAAACTGAGAGGGRAACAAGGAAGGGAATGAAACAATGGCAAGATTTGAAACAAAAGCTGGAAATAAAGCAAAAGTAGCAAGATGCCTGACATCTTTTTCTAGAGAAAAAGGCAGAAAAAAGAAACCACAAAGCAAGTCAGAAACTGAGCTATTGGAAGGAGTTAACTAACAAAGACATTCAAATTAGCAGACAGGAGCCCACCTGTGACATTCCCTGTGCAGCACCTGGAGGCAGCAGTGAAGCAGCACAAGGAAGCTCCCTGAGCAAAAAAAAAAATCTCTGTCCCACAACCTCTCTAAGCTGAAAACAGCCTCACACCTATCTTCAACCACCAGTCAGCGGGAAGAGAAGAATAATACCAAAGGTTGCCAGAGGAAAGGTCAGAATATCACCCAGCCCTGATGGGCTCCACTGCACAGCCCACCTCAGCAGAGCTACAGGTCAGAGCAGATAAAAACACACAAAATCAAGCAGATTGGGTAAAAACAGACACAGAGCACAGCCCACTTGAGGGAATGAACCTGGGGGCAGCATTCCAGCTCCAGCCACAGCTATGTGGATCACTGGCAGGGAAGGAGCAGCCATGGGAGCACTCCAACCCCAAGCTAGGCCAGCCTCACCTGCATCCTCTGTGCTTTYTCTGTGCTTGTCAGATTTGAGATTAATCTCACCAGAAAATGACACAGCAGCCAAGCAGAGCTCCATTAGGGGGCTGCTACTGGATAAGGTTCATTAAGGGATATTATGGCTTAATCCTCAAAGGTTTGTTACCAGATAGATGCTGAATCTCTTTATAAGCCACAGCAAAAAAATTGAGCTGATGGCAACTTTAACACTGCCACGTACACAATTGCTGGAAATTATTCAAGTTCTCCTACTCTCCTTAAACATATATGTTCTATCAACCACRTTTCCATCTTCTCCTCTACATAAAGATCAGGATTTAGTAACAAAACAGCAGCAAATCATGCATTTGGACAAACCTGAGACCTTCTCCGGTGAGTCGTAGGCCCAACTCGCACACACGGCAGCGCCTCAGGAAACCTCCTCACTGCTGGTACAAAACCAAGGGACTGCAGAGAAAACACCTCCTGAGGCACTGGCACCTCCTTTTATTCACCCCCATACAGCTTTCAGGTGTGTGTGTTTGCAGTCCTTACAGCTTTCAGGTGTGTGTGTTTGCAGTCCTTACAGCTTTCAGGTGTGTGGGTCCTGGGTTTGCAGTCCTTACAGCTTTCAGGTGTGTGGGTCCTGCTTCATTCCCTAGGACACACCTGTTAACACTCAGCAAAATCAACATGATTTAACTCCCTCAGCATCCTGCTCCTTTGAAAGCTTTACAGGTGAAAAAAGATAAAATATGCATTCTGATAGTTCAAATTCCAGTTCTCCTTTTTACCATATTTTCAGCCTCGGCTTTGATACCTGTAAGTGTAATAATCATTTTGTGTAATGATGCTCTAAGTGGGGGAGGAGGGCCTTAAAAACCAACATTTTGAAGAGAAAAGAAGGCTTTGCCAAGGGTCAGTGCTTCAGGGTGGATATGGTGTCCTCCACCAGCATCAGCAGCTGAGCCAAAGGGGAAAGGCAGGCTGATGCTCCATGGAAGCTCCTGAGGAGACAGAGAGAGAGAGAAAGCAGGAGCTCTCCTGGGGTCTGCAGCCAAGAAATGGGTTTGTTCTTCAGGATGAAAAAAGAACAGGCCAAAGAGGCTGACGCTCCTGTGCTGGCTAAAACAAACCCTTCTAGTCAGACATAATTCCTATTTGCGAGTAAATAATGCAGCATGTTTTTTTGTTTTACAGCTGCAGAGTCTGTGCCTGGAGGAAATGCCGGTGGAAACAATCCTGGCACCGTGGGAAATCCTGCTGGTCATTTTTGCTGCAGTGCTGATAATGAGCTCGCTGATGCTCCTGCCCCCCGCTGCAGTGGTGATCTGGAGGATGAAGCGTGTGCCGCAGATCTCGCTGCACGGCTTGGTGTGAGCCAGCCCTCAGAGGATGGGTCACAATGACAGCACCTCTCAGGGCCCCTCTCTCCACCTGTGATCACCCAAAAGCACTGGCCTTACCATCCATTGCTGCTGAGTTCCTGTGAGAAGAGAATGCCTGTGATTTTGTCGCCATGAACCACAGTTCTCTGTGCTGTGCCTTCCATTTTTTGGCTGGGCTGTAATTAYTGCTGTTGGCTCATTCCTAGGCTGAGTTCTTCTCTTGTGTTAGAATGGACTGAAAGAGAAGCAAGGATAATACAGCATTGTATTCCCTTAATTAACAACAGGAAAACCTCCCTCTCTAAAGTAAAGCACTATAAATATTAGCGAAGCTGACTGACAGTTCTGCAGGTGGACTTATCAAATTTATGCAGGATGCTCTGGGGAGACAGTAGTTGAGTCTGGTTGTATTGTAAAACCTAAAAAAGAATCAGATAATGGTACAATAAATAAGCCTCTTCTGCTTCTGAAGCCTGATCTGAAAACTTAATGGTTTAAAGCGTTTTCAAATTCTTTCTTTATAGATGAATTAATTTCTTTCCCTCTCTGAATATTCCTCTCTCCTCAAACCCCCAGTGCCAGAACACAAAGCCTCACCAATCCCGGAGCAGGAACACGAGGGATGGTCCAATGCTCAGACATGCCAGCCCAAACACCAACAAGAAGTTAATGCAACCACACAGCAACCATTTACCTGAATTAAATTATGCAAATTTACTCTGGGAAACAACATGATTAAATTTACTTTAGTTTTTAACTGTGTCATATGGCATTATTGAGTCAGGTTTCCTTTCTCCTATATAAATAATAACTCAAGTGGTGGGAATAGAACAAAACTGATTCTCTGCAAGTTATGAAAAACACCCCAGCAACCCAATCTCCAGATTAATATCAAGTTCATGACATGATAATTAAAGCTTTCCAGCCTAATTCTTCCACATTGTGTGATACTCACTGTGAAGATTTCTGACGCACAGATTAAACAGTTTCTGTTAGTTTACAGGAGCAATGGGTTTGATTTCCTCATGAACTATGAGTCATTTTTTTTTTTGTTGATTGGTTTGGAAAGTCGCCAGTATAGATTAACTTCATTGAGAGAAAAAATGGGGTTTAGCACCAATAGAAAAGTTATACTGGAAAGTACTCCAGATATTTTATTTCAGCATCAGCTGATCATGAGTAGCTGGAAAGACTTAAAAACATCACAAATCCATTTGATAGAGATAATTTTTTTTTGCCAGGAAGAAAAAAAAAAGGAAACTAACAAAAACCTAGTGATTCAAGACCCACTATTTTTAAGACTACAGCACTTTTGTGTCCAGCACTATGACTTAAGTTATTGCTACATGGTTTATAAGCAACCAAAGCAGCCAACTCATCCCTTTGCTGCTGTAATTGTCTGCTCCACTCATTGTCATATGACTGTCTGCTTCTGGGCCCAAAAGCARCTCTGGGTTTTTTGCTTATAATGAATGGATTCTGAGTCTGAAATATAAGTATGTAAATATATATATTTGAATCATTTATCTGATTAATGATGTAAAGGTCAACTATATATCATGTGCCACATAACTATGCTGTCTGTGTCTGAGAGATAAACAGAAATAGGGAAAAGGTAAAAAAGGGAAAGGAAACACAAACAGATGAGCTGTCTGTTTTCAGATCTACAGCTTCAGTGTTTGCTCAACAGAGGAAAATTAAAATATTACCCCAAGCATAGATTACACTGAAAACCAAGCAAGCAGTACATAAGTTTCTAGTTTATATTTCATAATAATTCACATGCACATTGTTTGATAGTTACAGCTCTACAACTAAACTGGATCACCAGTGCTAAGCAGTCTTTGATCCTCACTTTCACGTAGTGCCAGGTGGACAATGGACAGGTTTTCTGCTGCTGTTCTAAGCCCCGTCAAGAGAGCAAGTCAGGACCTGACTACAGTCAGGAACTTTGTCACTTACATGGCTTGAATTGTCATCAGAGCAACAATTGAGATTAACTGGCAGCTGTAAAAACAAGTAGAAGTATTGGTCCTTTCTCAGTAAAGATGACCCTTGGGAGAGGACAATTTCATGACTATGAACACCAGTCCTTTAACTAAATAAAAGCTGTGTGTTTGCATGTTCTAGCAGTGATTTCACTGCTCCCTTTCTCCTGCCCAGGTGCATTCAGCTGGCTGTTCTGTGCTCAGGCTGCTTGTGCTAATAACCACAGATGATACAATCAGCCCCCGGGTCCCTGCTGGAGCCATCGATGCCTTGCTGGGCCAGCTCTTTGAGGAAGATGTTCAGCTGCTCCGTCTGAGCTTCAGGGAACGCTAGGGTGTGCACACAGGTGCTGTTGCTGGGGAAATAAGCAGATTTAGCTCCACTGATGGCCATCTTGGAGGCTGGAAAGATCAAAGATAGAAATAAACAAACAAACAGATAAGGCATCTGCTTTGCTTATCTTAGATTTGTCCTTATATTTAAACAAGTACCAGCATTCCCATTTTCTAAAGTGAAGTCTCCAARTTTAAATAAAAATGCCTAGGTGATTGCTTGCTTTTAGTAAGCCTTGGAAAAAAAACTGCCCCAGAAGCAAAGCCCTGTCAATGGTAAAATATTTTCCTTTAACCATAGGAGAGGAAGGCTGGCCCTTTAGTGTATCTATATGCACATTTATTTTTTAATTAAGGCAATAACAACAGAGTCATACAGCCTGCTCTGGGTCACAGAGTGCTCAGTGGGTACAGTGGGAGCAGTCTCACAGGCCTTGGGCTGCCATGAAGATGGCAGTGTGGCTGGGTGGGGGCCAGCTGTAGAGCTTTATTGTGTGCCCTTGCAGGGAGCAGCACAGATGTTGGACAGTTCTCCTGAAATTCTTCAAGTATTGTTACAAGATAAACAAAGATAAAGTTTTATGTCCTGCAACCCTTGTGCGACGAGGAGTTTGTGTTAAGGTGATACCAATCTACTGAGTTTTTTTTTTAAAAAGGGTGCATGCATCTTCCCACAAACATTTGCATCCATGTGATATTTGGTACCCCAAGATGAAGCAGCAGTGCTCAGGCCTTCATGAGGGTTTTAAAGCTGATGTGTTTTGATACTCATCAGTTTGCCAGCTCAGCACTGGCTCTCACAATGTCACACAGGACAAGGTTGTTATACACCACAAGAAAAGAGAAAATGTTCTTTCTTCCTATTTTTTAAACAAAAGGCAGGGAGCCTCACATCCTCATGAACAGATATGTCTGAGAAGAACTTACGGTTGCAAACAGCCAGTTCCTTTCCCCCAACAAACTGTGTGGTCCAGGAAAACCCAGTGGCGTTGCCACACATTTCATACAGCCTGCTGCTTCGGAGGAACTGAAAGTCATAACCCTTGGGAAASAACGGTGGGGAGAAAATAAACAGACATAAATAAACAGACAGCATCTTAGGGTACATCATGTAACCTCAAGGTGAAGAAACATTCAGCCAGGGCAGGTAAATACAAACCTACAACCTCCCCCAGCCCTAAGGGATGCAAAATAAGCATAGCAAGGAAAATTAGACTTTACCCAATAAACAGTAGCAATTAAAGAAAAAATTAAGGAATAGATGCAGCAATGCAGCAGCAGTAAGGCTGGAGTGTTACCTGGTTGCACATGGGTTTGCAGTACTGAGCACTGTCGATGGTGACACACACCAGCCCCCCGTTTCTTGGAGCCACTGGACGAGGGCACGGAGGCAGCTGTTTGCAAACTTTGGGGTGGATTTGAAAAAAAAAAAAAAGGAGAGCAAGAAAACAATTAATAAGAGTGAAAGTGGGTATAAAAGTCTCCTCTTCCCAAGCAAACTTGTTGAATAACGTCCACTAGCTCGTTTCATCAAAAGAAGCATTTTTGTTTGTTTAAAATCTTTTTCTCCCCTTTTATTCTTTTTTTTTTGTTTTTTTTTACAACACTCATCCAAACTTCCCCCCACTGGTCACTATGGCAAGCATCAGCCCCAGTTACATTTTAGAGGCAGCTCACTGTGGCATACACATTCACAGCGCACACATTCAGTGCTATTCTGGCCAAAACTACCCAAATATTTCTTGGAAAAATATGAGTGGCATGCTGGCTGCAAGGCAGCAGAGAGGCTCTGTCTGGAGGGCAGAGCAGGCCCTGCTGCCCCTGTGACTGTGCTGCTGCTCAGCCCTGGTGCCTGGGCTGCAGAGACAGCAGGACCCACGTGTTTGTGCTGCTGTGCCTCCCCAAGCCCAGCGCTTTCTCTGGACATGCTGAGATGTCTTTTGTCTTATTCCCCTCCTCCCCCGCCCCCAAAGTAATGCAGACATTTAGTTCATTCTGTAGCTAGAAAAAATTTCCTTAGCGCTTCTCCACTGCCACTTTGTCCAACAGCCAGCAAAGGGGAGCACTGCTTCTGGAGGGGACTCACATTGCTCTTGAACAGGGCGCAGCAGATCAAGTGTTTCTTGCAGTGTCCACACCAGGGAATTGATTGAAGCTTTTTCTCCCTCGGCAATCATTTCAGGCAAGCATTTTGAATATTTCTGTGGAGTTAGGGGAGAAAGAGTCTAAGTTGAAAAGGAAAGACATTGGAGCCTTAGAATTAATCTATCTGTGAACATAGGTAAATAAACTCATGCATTTTTAGGTAGCTATTGTTATATATCTAGCTATATTGCTTATGTTCAAGCCACTTTATACATCTGGAGCAGGGCAAAACTGGAAAATGTCTCTACAAAAATGATTTTTTTGAGTAGCAGTAGCAGGAGAAAAGCTGTGGTAATGACACTAATGTTTTCCTGCTCGTGAGTGTGGCTGCCCTCCCCAGCATGTACTTTGTACATTGCCAAAGCCATACACCAGTTGTGCTTGCCCAGCCAGCGCAGGCAGACACCACAGCAGCCTGCCAGCACATGAAGGGGGTGCACAACAGACCCCGGGTCAGCCAACCTCTTACCTCAAGAGTCTCCTTCACATCATCTATGGTTGCACTTTTGCAGTCACTTAGACCAGCAAAAGCTCCACTTCCAGTAAAATCTAAAAGACAAACAGAAACAGGTACTTAGGTAGGTCAYGCTCCCTCGTGATATGTGAACAAACCCTGAATACCATGGCGTGTTTGTTTAGAGGAGCTGTGCTTCTKTCCTGCAGTCCTCGTGCTTGTACACCTGAGGTGATCAGGGCTCAAAAGTGAATTACCTGTGCAAACACTGATTTACGGGAAACAGCAATCTGAGCACCTCTTTGGGGCCAGTCAGGGCTGGATTCCCCAGCGGGCCCTTCATTGCTCTAAGACAGCCTTAATTAACCAATTGCAAGCCATATTCAAAAATCTTACCTGCAAGAAGCACTGCTAAACTTAGAACAAATGCTTTTTYCCAGAGGAGGCCCGAGCTGAACATTTTTTTTCTGCAGGAGACCGGGGACTAATTGCTTGCTGTTTGTGGTGCCTGAGAATGAAAGCACTGGAGGCAGGCACAGAGCTGCGAGCCTGTGGGTTGCTGGTTATTTACCGTGTGCAGGGCTGTGCTCAGGGATCAGGGGAGGCACATATTGCCCCACTTGCTGGGAAGCCCGAGGAGAGCTTGCCAGAACAGTTTAGGGGAGGGCAAGGGCATGTTCTCGTTAGGGCACTGAGGCACACTGGCAGTGCTGCTGCCAGCTCCACCGGGAAGCTTTCACATGAAGTGTTTTACTGCAAACATGTTTAATGTACACACATTYTTGCATGCTCTGGCTCTCTCACCACCTTCCCCTCTGTCTGTGTTTGTCTCTCTCTCACACACACATATACTTTCATAAAGAAGACATAATAAGGCCTTACCTGGTATGTCATGCTCCAAGAGAAAGCTCAAAATATCAAAAAATGACTGTTTTGAGCCAAAGGGGTATGGTCGGTATCCTGTAGCATCCAGAGTTTAGTTTTTTTGGTTTTTTTTTTTTTTCTATTTATGGGAAGAGCTGAATAGGTAGCAAAATTGTCACAAAAGTTCAGCCATTTCTACCCTACACATTTACCAGCAGATCAATCCAATTATCCAGCTAAGGTGCTAGGGGTGTACCCGACCCCTMTGTAAAATGCAGGGTTCAGTCACAGCCCGTCACCTGGTAACCTGTCACATATTTCCACACACTGCCAAGCCAGGTCCCCTGCCCACCCCTCACACACACAACACACACACCCTGCTCTCCAACAAACCTGTGATGGTTCTTATTGGCACCACCTGAGCAGAACCATTCCTTGTGTCTGCAGGTTTCTTTTTGTTGAGACATGGATTTTCTGCTTCCATGTTATATTATTAAACATATTTATTTAGAAGGCACTTTCTCAGGTTTCTTTTTATTAATTTTTCATTCTCTTGCTTCTGCTGCTGTAGTGTAATGCATTCTGACCAGGAGATCCTGAAGAAGCTAAGCCAAAAGAAAGGCACCCAGTGCATTATAAAAGAAATGTCTTCTTGGGCTAAGTCAAGGCCATCTTGATAAACAGATATGTGTAGGACTGCAATGCTTCCACAARACAGTTCTGTGCCAGCATGAGAGCTTATTATTAGCAAAATGCCTTTGTATACATTACTGACAGATAAAAGATCATAAGCGAAACAAGCCTTTAATAACACAGGTCGAGGTTTATGTCTTTAGACGGAGCAACAGGACCTGGTTCCAAACTGTTTCTGAGGCTGACACACACATAGTCCATATTCCCTGGAAGATAAGCCATCTGCAGCTAGGAAAAAAGTCTCTGGGAAATATTTGCCGACTCATTCTTTAAGATGCAGATGCTCTGTAAGATATTTTTCTACCAAAATGTGCCCAGGTGGGTACCCAACAAGGCCCACCGATTAATGTAGTGAGTCCTTGGGAGWTCAGATGCTACACATAAACCTGCAACTTGTTTATCTCAACTTATGCATGGGGCACATTGGCATAATTAATAAAGTGGAGAGACCTCTGGCTTGACTAGGTAGAAATTGTCTTTTTGACACACTTGAAAGGAATAAATRGTGGCTTTTCCCTTCATGTTCATCATAGTCAGGCACTCTCTTTCCASCACCACATCTCTTAGGGAGGCATTGCACAAAGACATTTATTTAGGAGATAAACACGGGGTGGCAGCACCTCTCCAGCGTAGATTTACCGGAATGCCGGCTAAACCACAAAGCTGTAAATCCCTCTTGGGGGTCATACACAGGCAACCCTTGCATTGCAGGATTAAGCCGCTGCCTATTGACAAACAGTACTGATCTCGGAAGATAAACGTAGTCTCAGACTCTCCCAATTTAAACAAACCCGTGACTAAGCCATTTGCCAAAAGYAGTTTGGCGCTGTCGGGGACAATACAGCACATGGGCACAGCCAGAGCCCTTATCCTGAGTGTTTACCATGTCCTGTCCAGCTGCACAGTCTGGGCTGAGGGGAGAAGAGGCGGCCACAGGAATAACGGGACACTGGGGTCACCCGAGGGCTGGCACAGCCCCACCCCACAGCTGGGCACAGCCTTGAGCCGGTGCCAGCTCTCCAGCCAGGGCTGCACACAGCTCCAAATGGAACCTCATGCTATGGCTCTTTGGTCACGTTTTGCATTTATTTCTCTCAGCTATATTTTATTCCCAAATGATATCCAAGACAAAAAGCCATGCAATAAACCTGATGACCGAGAGCAAAATTTATGAAAAAAATACTGTATAGCACAAACTTAAGAGTTACAAATACAAGCCTAATATTTTTCACTGAGTTCCCATTAATCACAAGGACTAAARAGTGATCACACGTATTAACAGGAAAATTCATATAGCAATTCCAAATTCAATTATGTTGGTAAACTAAAATCCTACAAGAGTAGAAGCAGCTGAGTTGAGATGGTCCACTGTACAGAAACACTGAAAAAAACATAGAAAAGAGACACATTTACATAGATGGTAGGAAAAAGCTTTTTATTCTGTGATTGTTGTTCCATAGGAGAGCATTTATGTTTCAAAAGGTAATTGAAACACGACAGTAACAGCACAAATGCAGCGAAGGTGATTTAAATATTACATATATGTTCACAACTTTTATAAAAGAGGCCAAGATATAGTTATGTGATATTCAGCCTTCTCCCATCAAAGCAGCCCCCAGCTGTATGCAATGCTATCTCCAGGAAGGAAATTGGACCCCAGAATTTCCCACTGTCTAATTAGAAGCAACAGATCTGCTGATCCTTAGTCAGAGTTGGGAAAGTCGTCTTCACCTTTGCCCATCAAAGGTTTGAGGTTCAGCTATTGGTTTGAATACCTGAGTCACACTTCGTCTTTATCGAAAGAACCAACAGAGCAGCACTTAAAAGTAAACTGTATTTTGTTGTCTTACACTGATTAAAAAACAGACTCTGTCCATTATATCTTAGATAATGAAAGACCCCGAGGGTTAAAAAAATCAATTTCCAAGAAAATAACCTTTTCTTTCTTTCCATTTAAAATCTAAAATTCCTTTTGTTGAATATAAAGCTGTCAAATTTGATTTTCAGAARCATCCTCATCATTAGTGGACTTCTCTTACTTTCTGTTTTCAAAAGGTGACATGTAACTAATGTCAATACACCAGTTTTTTAGGCACTTCCCATGAGAATTCCTGTCTTCCAAAGTGACCATAACATGCAGTCTTCTGGTAAATGGGCTTTTTCAGATCCAAATCTCTGTGTGTATAATAAAAAGAAGTTAAAATCTTTCATATTATGATACTTCATGATAACTGCTATTAAAATCCTKATGTTGATATCCATCCCACACCCTCAGACATGCAAGCATATTTTGGAGATGACAGCATACCAATGAACACGTCAAATGGAGACAATAAAAGTGACAACACTACTTAAATGTCTTTAATGTACTTTAAGGCTATAAGGAAAGGCCTGTTATTGAGAATTAATTGTAATGGAAAAGAATAAATAACCTTCAGTTCCATTTGCAAACCAAAACATAGCCTCTTTTTAGAGCAAAGTAACTTAGAGCTCTTGGAATACAAAAGGTTTTTATTTTAATTCCTTACATTATAGAAGGCCAAACCTTCAGAAAGCATTGCAAGAAATAATTTCTTGTACGTGACTACCAAGATATTTTAATTTCTGTATTTTCTTTACCTGACAATGACTCCAGGCCGAAGATCAAAGTTTTTGTGCACAATGTCCAGCAGCTCTTTCTCTGTTTTTTGGGAAGTTCCATAAGTGAACAGTGAAATGGACAGCGGATGAGCAACCCCAATGGCATAGGAAACCTGTGGGGGAAAAGGCACTTTAGTCAGCCAATAAATACAGCACCTCAGGGCAACAGAAGTGCAGCGGAAGAAAGCACTTATTCATGAATCAGCTTCTGAAAACTAAGGCCTCTCCTCATATTTGCACAACCTGTGTTTGTAGAAAAGAAAAGAGAAAATTTTGGAAATGCTGAGACCCCTGGATAACTTTCTCCCCCATTATCCAATCACCCCATGCTTATTTCCATGACAGTAAGTCAGAGGGTTGAGGGCTCAACAAATGTCTGGAAAAAACAGCCAATAAAAGATGAAAAGCTGCAGTTTCAAGAAGCCAACAGGCTGTTAGTCACATTACAGTGGGCTTGAACCAAGCACATCAAATTTCCTTTTCTTCAAAAAACCATCACCGAGACGACTTCTGCAGTGTCTCGTACTATGGGCGTTCAAAGCAAATGTGAGAAGGGAGAATCTTTTTGAGCAAAGCAACATCCTCAGCAAACCATACCTGAACCAGGACACGGCGRCAGAGGCCAGCTTTCACCAGAGACTTGGCTACCCAGCGGGCTGCATAGGCAGCTGACCTGTCCACCTTGGTGTAGTCCTTGCCCGAGAAGGCGCCGCCGCCGTGCGCTCCCCAGCCGCCGTAGGTGTCCACGATGATCTTCCTCCCAGTGACACCAGCATCGCCCTGAACCGGGGAAAGGCTGTCCATTACACATCCATTTCACTCTCAGTCTAAACAAGGCTGTGCTTGCCTTCACTGCAGCAACATGGAAGTTCAACACACAGGGGGTGCTGGGGGGGGAGCTGAAGCAATGAACTTGTCTCACCAAGCTACAACAGTGGCTGTAATTGTTCTTTAAAGCCAGATTCTCAAGACAAGTCATTCACAAATTTGTTTGCAAACAGGTTTACACAGGCATGCATTGCCTGTTTTAAAAGCAAATATCCCTGACAATATGGGAATGTTGGTTTAGAAATCACTTACTAAATATCCAAACTGATTATGGAACATCGCTAAAAAACTTCATGCCATATAGGAATCATTGAAAGAATTCATACTGTTTAAAAATTTTAAAAAGCCCAAACCTAAAAACACTCAGGATGTCACACATTTTACTCACAATAGCAAGTTGGGTGAATATTAAACGCTACTTTTCTTTTTTAATTTACCATCAAAGGTATGCCAGTGGTACCTTATACATCGTTACATGGACACTGGCACTCAGCAGTTCCAGTGCAGTAGCAGAGAYTGTCATATATGCACTAAAAACTGCATTTCCAGCCTCAAAATATGTATAGTCTAATTTAAGCTGTACACAACAGGAATGAGGACTAGGCAGTTATAAGTAATCAAGAAAGGATTACTTCTTTCTAAGAACAGATATTTACATCATAAAATCATAAAATATTAAATAAGGAAGTGTGGATGACCTCCTAG